CACCACACAATACCACTTTATTAATATGTGTGTCATTTGTACTATGGAAGAACTTTTAGGGACAGAGGGAGTATCATAAAGGAAAAAAATTGTTTGTATACACATCATTTGTACAAGTTTTTGTACATGTCCCCTTGTTGTCAGTGTTAGCAAGCAAATCAATAAAAAATCATAGAACTTTAAAAAAAGTATACAAAATTATCTATATAATGTGTAAAATTGGCGCCTACACGAAGAAGGGCCCTATTATTATGAAATAAGAGATCTATGGACAATATGTTAGTAATAAACCTCAATGGAAGAGAGACAAAACAAGATGCTAGAATTGCAAACACATCGCCTGTGTTAAAGGTTGAGAAAACATTTATAACTGTAAAAGAATAAATACTATCAGGAATTACTAAAGGTTGCAAACAAGACTATTACTAAAGGTTGCAAACAAGACGCTAGAATTGATAGTATGAGAAAATACTATTAGGAAAAGAATCCTTGCGAAAAGAATCCCTGCAATGTTTAGCATGAGAAAACAGGACTAAAAATAAGAATATTGTTCTCTTCTTCTTCTTGATTTGCTTTCAATCTCTTTTCTCTGTTTTACTACTGTAAAATTCACATGGTGTCAGAGCCAAGTTTTAACATGGTATCAGAGCGTTAAAACACAAACATGACTGCCGGAGATGACTCAGAGCAAGGCACTACAGCACCAACAAAAATTGACTATTCGTCACCGTTCTTTCTTGGACCGCAAGATCGCCCGGGTGACTTCATCACCCCGTTGCGATTGAATGGAGAAAATTATGATGAATGGGCTAATGCGATGCGGCTGGCTTTACGGGCTAGGCAGAAGTATGGGTTCGTCGATGGCACTATCAAGAAACCGACGCCGCCTTGCACGAAGGATGATTGGTTGACAATACACTCTATGTTGGTGTCTTGGATTCTCAACACAATTACGGGAGAGGTGAAAAACACGCTGTCCTAATATGAGAATGCTCGAGATCTGTGGGATGATCTCTGTGAGCGTTTTTCAGTCGTAGATGGACCGAAAATACACCATATCAAGACTGAACTTGCTCGGTGTGTTCAAAGTAAAGGGGTGAATGTGGGAACATATTATGCTAATTTTTTTTGGGATGAATTAAACAGCTATGAACCCATCATCACTTGTAAATGTGGAGGATGTACCTGTGATGTCGGTAAACAGCACGAGAAGCACCGAGAATATGAACGATTTCATCAATTTTTGATGGGATTGAATACTGATTTCTTCGGTTATGTGCGGTCGCAACTGTTAACTCAAGTACCACTGCCCACGCTGAATCGTGCCTATCAACAGATTACACAGGAGGAACGCGTACGCGGGATGACAACAAATAATGCTGACCCCGATGCCATGGGCTTTGCGGTCAAAACTGAACCGAAATCTGGAGGGCATGGTCGCGGAAAAATTGACAAGGCGAGACTGTTCTGTACATATTGAGAATATACAGGCCATGACGTCACAAGGAGATGTTCAATGCACTAAATAATCTTAGTGAAAATCAATCCCTGCTGTGAGTACTTAACAGATAGATTCAACCAACTTCTTTTCTTTCCTTATTTTTAAAAGTTATTCACTATTTTCTTTACCTATAGGTTTCTATGTTTTTTTAATAGTCGCAATCTCATCTATGTTGGCAATTCACATTTATATTATCAATGAATTTTCCAAAAACCAGTTAACACTAAATTAATTCAAATGCATAGTGGGAATATCTTACCAAGTATATTTCTCCTGTCATGACCTTCTTACAAAGGAATAATGAGATAAATTCTAAAATCATCATCATTATTAGTTTTTCTGACTTGCAAGAAAGATTTCACGAGCTGGTGGTGACTCGAGATAGTTTTTGTTGTAAAGTGCTAATGTCCCATTGGCCATTGCAAGATTGGACATTGTAAAATCACCATGAACGTCAAGGAACATGTGTATTTCTAGTTGAAAATTGCTTTTTAACTCTGCCCCCCTGAAATTTTAGTGCCACCCCCCCGTGGAGTAATTTGTGACTTGTTGCTTCGATTGTTCTGACAATGCTGCTTCATGTACTCATTCTGTATGTGCAACCATTATCTGTTCTCTTCTCTGTAAGTTGAAATCTTTTCATAAATAAAAGTGTGGTTTCTTTAATATGCTCAGTTAGTGTTGTGTTTATGTTTAAAACAAGTTAAAGGTGATTATCTACATTTGATGTAGGTCACACCACTTAGTTGGACGGCATGGACCGCTGTGTTATATCTTTCATTTCCTGTAAATCTTTCCGAACTGATTATCAATCATTTGTTACTTGTTGATACCTTGAAAGTCTACGCATAATTAGCAAATACTTCGTAGTTGTTTTGATTATTTTAAGGAGTTGCATGTGATTAGTTCATCACAAAGTGTGGACTAAGAGCTCTGATGGATAGTCTATCCGGGAGTATATATCCGAGGGGTTATTACGGGGAGTAATTTAGAGAGAAGTCAGAGCAAGTAAATAAAAGTAGAGAGAGAGTGTATTCAGTGTGTTATCACTTTTCAGCGTGGTTACAAATGGGGAAATGGGGTGCTATTTATAGCAGCAATAAATGCCGGGCAGGGACACATGTCAAGCGCTCATTGGCCGAGGGGTCACCTCAACTGATTGGCGCTGGCAGCCGCATGTGGTCGCATTTAATGCGGCTGTTGGATGGGACGTCTGTGCAGAGTACGGTGATCTGTACGCATGTGAGGCGGATATCTTGTCGAGTGAGATGCCTTCGGCTATAGAGCAGTAGCCGAGGGCTCTTCCTCCCGATGGCACCCCTGGTGCCGAGGGCTCACAGTGCCGAGGGCTGCTGTTTCCGACGTTTTCTCCCAGTTTCTTAGTTTGCTTGAGAAACCCGTTCTGTGAGAATTTGGAGCCTTCGGCCAGGGGGCCGAAGCACCCCTGGCGCGTAGTGCGGGCTGCTTGGTACTCTGGGCGCTGTGATTTGGGCCTGTTGGGCCTTTTGGGCCTGTTGGGCCTTCGCTGGAGTAGTAGGAGTCTGTGGGCCGGGGGTTCCCGGGCCATATACTCCATCAGGAGTCCCTCACTCCTTTTGCCGAAAGGTACTTGAGGGAAAAGAAGTAACTTGTGCTTGCCCTTTGATGTTGTCCCATCGTGATCTCTGAAGTTGGTGAGGAGTTGTTGCTTTTATGTCCCTGCCGAAGGCAGTCCCTCAGTTACCCTCATGTCGGGACTTGAGGGCTTGCTTTGTTTGGAATTTCACCAAATTTTGTAATTTAATGTTTTTCCCGAAGGGGTCCTCCAGTCCCCCACTCCTTGAGGCACTTGTAAAGTGGTGAAAAGGAGTAGAGTAGTTGCGTTGCTGTTGTGGCCCGAAGGCTGACGCTTTTCGTTTCATTTTGGGGGGATGCCTCGTTAAAAACCTCATTAGAAAAAACCCTTTGGGAAAAAATCCTAATGAGGGAAAAAGAGTGCACCGAATTCCCCCAATGATGAATCGAAAATGTCAAACCTTGGTAAAAAATGGAGAATGGCGGGAATGCCGAAGGCTCTCTCTTCTGAGGGCTCCTGTGTTGATTAGCCGAAGGCTGGCTGTTGATGTCCTGGTGGCGCCGAAGGGGAGCCCCTCAATCCAGGGATCGAGGGCCTGCCAGATGAGGGCAGCAGTGAAGCTGTTACCGGGGGGTCCACTGTTTGTTGATGAGGTGGTGATGAAGATACCCGAGGGCCATGGGCCATCCGTCAATGAGGCACTCCCCGGGGGCTACCCGGTTTTGCAGTGCTGAGGGGAAAACCCCGAGGGGTGCCCTGATATGCAGCCCTAGGGATCTGAAGGAGTGATCCCGAAGGCGTGTGTAATGTGCTGTGTGGGGCACAACCCGGGGGCACTTCTGGGTGAGTGCACCCGGAGGCTATCCTTGATGAAGTGGAGTGAAGTAGAAAACCCGGGGGCTTCCAAAATATAGCCGTTGAAAATATAGCCTTTGGAATATGTAACGACAGGATATAGCCGTTGGGGGGGTGGCACACGTGGCGTGTGATGGCTGGCTGTTCGTGGGCGGCGTCACCGGTTGGGTGAAACGGCGGTGTGTAATGATGGCGTCCATCCGGAGGCCCGGAATCCAGGCCCAAGCCCGGATTCATCGCCTATAAATACCCCAAGGCCAGGCATTCCTCCGTGTGCGATAAACTTGTTAGCGAAGCTCTGTCAATTTTTCTAGAGAGAGAAAGTTCAGCCTTCGGTCCAAAACTCAGCTTTCGAGGTCAGTGCTCCCTGCCTTTCTCCTTCTAGCATAGCTGTACTGTGCCCTTAGTTTAGGAGATAGAAAAGTTAGGAAACACTACCGTCTACGAGCCCTCGAACAAGGGTGCGAATGTCGTCCCAGAGTGACTCTCAGGACATCTCGAGGACGCCCTCGATGGAGGACGAAGGCATCTCCGATGTGGAGTCAAGCAGTGGTCAGCCCTCGGATTGTGGTGATGCAGCCCTCGCCACTGAGGTGCAGAAAGATCTGACGGCTGAGGCCGAGGCGGAGGAATTCGAGCGAACTTCCGAGGATGAAGAGTTGGCCCTCGCCGTCCAAGTTGCTGAAGAGGAGGAGGAGAAGGAGAGGGCGAAGGTCACTGTGGCCGTCCTTCCCCCTCGGGGTGCTGGTGAGGCCAGTACTTCCCAGCCGCTGAACGCAGTTCCCATCCGGGTGGCCCCCGGGATGAAGAAGAGAAAGACGAAGGCTGCCCCCCCGAAGAAAGCAAAGGCCGTCGATCAGGGGGGGCCAGTTGATCTACCGGAGGGTTACTCCTTCCTGGACACCGCCGCTCTGGAGATCAAGTCCCAAGCTGACAGGGCGGACATCTACATTACCCAATTGCATGTAGGGCCCTCGGCCGTGGTAGTCGAGCCAGGTCCTGATGACGTGCTGTCGCGGCCCCCCGAGGGATGTATAGCCGTGCACGTGCTTTCGGTCTCAATGGGCCTCCGGTTTCCTCTCCATCCGTTCCTCCGGGAGTACCTGAGGTACACCGGCCTGGCCCCCTGCCAACTGACTCCCAACAGCCACTCGTACATAACGGGGTTTGTGAACCTGTGCAAACTCCGGAAGGTTACAACGAGCCTGGAGTTATTCTTCCAAAGCTTCAACCTATGCCGGGGGGGACATACAAATGCCGAGGGCTATGCGAACTTACAGCAGATAGCTCAGTTCAAATTGTTCACTGAGGCCCCTTCTTCCAACAAGGGGTGGAGAGAGCGATGGTGCTACATCAGACTGGCCGACAGCCCGTTCCCGAGGGAGTTGCGGAATCGCTTTCGGCGCCATGTGAAGGCCAAGAGTGCCGCCCTCGAGAAGGATGGCCTGAAGATTGCAAAGATTCCCGAGGGTCGGGAAAAGAACGTAACCATCAAGGAGTGCACCCTCGAGGAGGACCTGTATGCCCTCGGATTCCTGAGGTATCGGTTCATTGGGGAGACCGATGAGAAATATCCCCTCTACGATAAAGCCTTCGTGGGAGCAGGAGGTAGTGGCCGGGGGCTTTACATTTTCGTACTTAGAGATTTTTGTTATGTTTGTTGTCATGTGTTTGACCCCTCGATTCTAACCTTTCAACTTGTTGCTGTCGTTCTTTGCAGGTAGCAGGATGAATGCCAACGCCTTGTTCGCGAAGAGGAAGGGCAAGACCCAGCAAAAGGAGAAGGGGCCCTCGGGCCAGAAGCCAGTTGACGCGCTTTTCCCGAAGGTCACAGAGCCTTCCGCCGGGGACGCCCATGCTGCTGTGGGGACCGGGGGGTCGAAGGCCGAGGCGGCCGCTAAGAAGAAGAGGAGCGACAAGGGGGTGGAGCCCCCCACCAAGAAGCAGAAAGGCGCCGTGGGTGCTGTCGGGGAGGCGGCCCCCCTCATAGTCATTGATGACATGCCCGCCGTTGATGAGCCTCTGGCCTCGGTCCCCCCGAAGGATCCGGTGAATCCCCCCCGGGCGGAATCACCCCGGGAGATCCGTCAGCTCTCCTTTGCCCCCGGCGCTTCGTTGATGCACGGCACTGCCGAGCCGAAGGCCTTCCTGCGGGACATCACCTCGAAGATGGACAGGGAAGTCTTCGAGACCTACGATGACGATGCCCTCGAGAACAGGATCCTCCGGTCCTCGCTCACTGTAAGTATCCGCTTCCTTTTTCCTTATCTTGTCAGTGTAGTCTTATTTTTTCCTGAGGAACAATCTAACTCCTTTGATCATTGTTTGCAGGCCTGCATAGCCCTCGGGGAACAGGCCCGGAGGCGCGAGGAAAGGCGTCTTCACGAGGCCGCCCAGGATAAGAAGGTGGAGGGGCTGATCCGTAAGAACTCCGAGGCGGTGAAGCATGCTGCCCAGCTGGAGGAGGCCCTTCGGGAGGCGAAGGCGGCGGCGGAGAAGGCCAAGGCTGATGGTATAGCCGAAGGCAAGGCAGAGGCCGAGAGGGCTGCTGCCGAGGCGGCGAAGAAAGCCGCCGATGAAGCCCAAACTGCTAAGGAGAGAGCTGCGGCCGAGGCCCGAGGGGAGGCAGTTGCGGAATTCCTTGCTGAGGGCTGGAGGGCCGAGGGCCACAAGGAGTGGGTTGCCTCCGTGGTGGCAGCCTCGGTGGACGCTTGGGTAGAAGGCCCCGGGGTTGACTGGCTGACCGATAGGGGCGACGCCTACTATCAGGGGGGTGAGTTCTTTACCCAGCACCTGATATACCGGAGGCTCGCCAGGCACTTCGGCGTATCCCTCGAACAATTTGACCCCTCGGTATATGGCCTCCCTCCGTTGCAACCAGATGTCAGAGTTCCCCTCCCCCCGGGTGAAGAGCGGCCAACAATCTATGATTCTGTGATGATGGGGGGTGACGGGGTTGGAGCCGTCGGGGGTGATGCTACCGGAGAAGAAGTCTCCTCCAAGGCTGTCGTGGAAGATGCCCCCGGTGACAACGAGGCTGAAGCCGCCGAGAAGATTGTTACTTAGTCAATTTTTTTTTAAAAAGCCTTGTAATGAAACTTTTGTTGCCCCTCGGCTTTGGCCACACTCTGTAATGATCACATTGACTATTTTTGTGTTGTAATTGAATGATTGCCTTCGGGCTTGGTGTATATGATATGCTTCCTTCTGATCTGTTCATTGTTGAATGTATGCCTTCGTCTTGCTTTGGATGTATGCCTTCTTTTTTTTTTCTTCTTTGAATGTATGCCTAGGACTTAGAAATTTTTTCGATTGTAGCTTGCCCTTGGAAGCCTTCGGTAGTTGGGCACCCTCTGCTGGATATGCAACCGAGGGTTCAGTAGGAATTAGGACTTAGAAAATCTTTCTAAGTGTAGCACAGCATGGGGCCTTCGGGTGTTTGTAGTAACCCAAATCCTAGGACTTAGAAAAATTTCTAAGTGTAGATTTCCCCTTGAGAGCCTTCGGGATACGACATCCCTTCCCGATGCGTGAATGTTTGGACCGAGGGCCCAATGCACAGGACTTAGAGATTTTTTGCAGGTGTAGTATGTCATGTAGCCTTCGGCTACTGTGGAGCCCCAACTGAAATATTGAATAGGCCGAGGGCCAATTCTTTAGGACTTAGGAAATTTTCTTGAGTGTTGATTCCTTGTGTACCGTAGCTCTCGATTGATAGGTAGCCTTCGGCAATTAGGTCCCTTGAGATGAGGGTGAAATATGTACGACTTAGAAAATCTTCTAAGTGTAGAGTTTCCCTCGAGAGCCTTCGGGAGGTGGCATACCTCTATGATGTATGAGTAGCTGACCGGGGGGGAAAACATGTAGGACTTAGAAAATATTCTAAGTGTAAAGTCTCCCTTGGGAGCCTTCGGGAGATGGCATCCCTTCTTGATGTATGAGTAGTTGACCGGGGAAAACATGTAGGACTTAGAAAATATTCTAAGTGTAAAATCCCCCTTGGGAGCCTTCGGGTGATGGCTGCCCTCTGATTCCACATCACTTTGCGAGATGCCCGGGGGCTACTCATTTAGGACATAATACCCTCCTTTTTTTAAGTGTTGTTGTATTGCATGGCCTTCGGCCACCATATTCCCTTGGCTGTAATATTGGTTGGGCCGGGGGCCCAATCTTTGGGACTTAGAATTTTTTCAAGTGCTGCTTCCCTGTGTAGCCTTCGGGTGCCCGGGGGCTGCTCCTTCAGGACTTAGAATTTTTTCTAAGCATACATTGATGTTGACTCCTGATGTTGTGAAGAAAGCCAATGAGGAGTGTGTGCCCTCGGCATATACTTTAAAAGTTGTAGATTTAGACCCTTGTCATAGGGAGAGGGCCCTCGGTATTTGTGCATAACAGATGCCTTCGGTGGTCGTTTGAAGTACCGTTTATTGGACCTTGGATAGTTCAGTCCCTTTGTATTGTTGAAGCCTTCAGTGTTTTTGTGACCGGAGGTGACCAGGTTGTGGACTTAGCCGTTTCCTGATGATATTTCTTTGAGTAGTATCCTTCGGGAAATAGGAGTCTTCAATTACCGGAGGTGTTCCCGTGGGGAGCCCTCGGCATGTTGTGATTTTGTTGGAGTGTACTCTTTGATTTCTCGCTGAGTCTACTCCCCTTCACCCCCCCCCCCCTTTTTTTTTTGGTTGGTGGTGAAGGGAAGGCATCAAGAAACTTGGTTTCTTGGTAAGGCTGGGCCTATTAGGAGACCATCAGAATACACCAATGGCTCTCCTCCCTCGGGTTAACCTTCCGAGTTCCGAGGGGATCGAGGGACGTTTCCTGGGCACAAGATATGGTGGTCCGTAACCTGCCTCCCCTTGGGGGATGGCGCGGAAAGCGCCTCATTTTTGAAAGTCGTCCCCTCGGCGCTAGACATAGTCTGTGGCCTGCCACACCCTTGGGGTGGTGGCGCGGGGAGCGTTTCGGTTTGGAAGTCGAATCCTGGGCACTTCTCATGCCTGTCACACCCTGGGGGTAGTGACGCGGATAGCGTTCCGTTTTTGAAAGTCGAATCCTGGGCATTTCTCATGCCTGTCATACCCTGGGGGTAGTGACGCGGAAAGCGTCTCAAGGAAGGGTTTTCATTTGCACACTAGTTGCAAATGGCCGGGGGCACTACGTGCCGCCGGCACCGATGGTGGCGCCTTCGGTATATGCGTCCTCGTGGGGTACGGCTTTTAGAAACAACACTTGGTGTTAGTTTCGATGTGTAGCCCCCGGTACTTGGTACCGAGGGGTCTTCTGTAGGAACACTTGGTGTTCTCTTTGTTTGTAGTTGATGTAGGCGTCTACCCTCGGTACTTGGTACCGAAGGGTCTTCAATTGAAACACTTGGTGTTTCCCAACAGATGTTTGGAAGTTGATAGGAGAGTATATCCCTGGCGCCGGGTGCCGAGGGGTCTTCTTTGAAACACTTGGTGTTTTTTCCTCGTTTCGATGTTTGATGAGGGAGGTGTACCCTCGGCACTGGGTGCCGAAGGGTCTTCTGTAGGAACACTTGGTGTTCTAATCTTTTCTTCTTTTGATGTTTGAAGGTGGGGATGTACCCTCGGCGCTGGGTGCCGAAGGGAAATGAAACACATGGCGTTCCTTGCTGTTGGTGATAGGAGTTCCCTCCCTCGGTACTTGGTACCGAGGGGTCTTGACTGAAAACACGTGGTGTTTTCACTGTTTGTCGTAGGTGTTGATGGTGTCCGCCCTCGGCACTTGGTGTCGGAGGGGGTTTGTCTCGTGGTGAGGCCTGGGGCCTGTAGTCAGTATGAGGGCTTGATGTCTTGAATGTATCTTCATTCTTCGAAATTGGAGGCCTCGGGCCATAGGATAGTACATTCACTAGTTATGAGGGCTTAGCCGCTCTTACATTATTGATAAAATTTAACTAAATGGTGTACATTCCAGTGCCTAGGGACTTCTTTCCCATTGGGGCGTTTGAGTTTGTAGGTCCCGGGTTTGATGATGGCTGCTATGATGTAGGGGCCTTCGAATTTTGGTGCCATTTTTCCTACCTCGGTTGGTTGGCTGGCTTCCCTCCTCCGGAGGACATAGTCCCCCACTTGAAATTCTCGGGTTCGAACTTTGGCGTCGATGTAGCTTTTAACTTGCCTTCGGTAGTTTTCTGCCCGGATGAAGGCCTGCTCCCGGCGTTCTGAAATGAGGTGGAGGTCGAGGGCCATGTTGCTGTCGTTGACCTCGGGGTCATACTGGATCACCTTTCGGGTAGGAAGGGTGACTTCCGTAGGAGCTTTGGCTTCAAAACCGTAGCAGAGGGAGAAGGGTGTTTCACGTGTTGCTCGCCGAGGGGTGGTGCGATAGGCCCAAAGGATGTTGTGGAGTTCTTCCACCCAGCCACCGCCCTCGGCCTCTAGCTTCTTTTTGAGGCCCTCGAGCAAGGTCCGGTTGGCGTTCTCTACTTGCCCGTTGCCTTGAGGGTAGGCAACGGAGGAGAAGGTGTGTTTGATGCCCCATGCCTCCAGAAGGGCACAGAAGGGGGCTGCCTCAAATTGTGTTCCATTGTCGGAGATGATCTGCTAGGGGACGCCAAACCTTGTGAGGATGTTCTTGAGGACGAAGTGACGGCACTTCGCCTCTGTGATGCTGGTGAGGGGTTCAGCCTCCACCCACTTGGTAAAATAGTCGACGGCCACAATGATGTATCTGTTGTTGGAGGTACCCCTCGGCAGAGGGCCCACAAGGTCTATCCCCCATCGAGAAAAAGGGACAGATGTGCTGATGGGGGCATAGTTGACCGCTGGCCTGCCGGGGGCTTTCTGGAAATGTTGACATGCGGTGCACCTCCGAGCCAGGTCAACACAATCCCTGGCCATGGTTGGCCAGAAGTAGCCCTGGAGAATGAGCCTTCGGGACATGGAGAAGGGTCCCTGGTGAGCTGAGCAAGTGCCGCTGTGTACTTCCTCCATTGCGACCTCGGCTTCATCTGGATGAAGGCATCGGAGTAGCGTGCCGTTGTATGATCGTTTGTAGAGCCTCCCATCTTCGATGGTGTAGCTAGGAGCCCTCAGCTTTGTCAGTTTAGCGCGGGTCTCATTGTCGGGTAGCTGCCCTGTGGAGATGAAGGCGATGATATCTGAGATCCAATCCTCTTGGCGTTGTTGTATGCTCATTACGGGGCTTGCATGGATGCTTGAGAGGCTGAGTTCTTCGATTTTGGCAATTTTGGAGATGTGCTCGGGGGAGCCGGCCGAGAGCTTAGATAATATGTCGGCCTCGGAATTCTGAGCCCTCGGTATTTGAGTAAGAGAGTGTGCCTCAAATACCTTAAGCAACTCCTTGGCCGCTTCCTTGTACTGTTTCATCCTCCCCTCTTTGGCCTCATATTCATCGGAGATTTGGCCAACGACCAACTTGGAGTCGCACTTGATGTGGATCTGCCGAGCCCTCATGTTGGCAGCCAGCCGAAGACCACATAGGAGGGCCTCATACTCGGCCTCATTGTTGGAGACCTTGAAGGAGAAGCGGATTGCATTGTAGGCCCTGAAGCCCTCGGGAGAAATGAGGACTACCCCTCCCCCGCATGCTTTGGTGGCGGAGGAGCCGTCAGTGTAGAGGGTCCACCAGTCGTCCGAGGCAGCCGAGGGCTCCCCGTCCGTGGCTGCCCTTGCGGTACACTCCGTCACATAGTCCGCCAGGGCTTGGCCCTTGATGGCAGGCCTTGGGCGGATGTCAATGTTGTATTGGCTCAAGAAGATAGCCCATTTAACCATGCGGGAGGAGCTGGTGGGGCTCCTCATGAGGGCGCCGAGGGGTTGATGAGTGAGGACCTGAACCGGGTGAGCCTGAAAGTAGTGGCCCAACTTTTTGACAGTCCAAACGATGGCTAGCACCGTTTTTTCCACAGGGGAGTACCTGAGCTCGGCCTCCCTTAGGGTCTTGCTAACGTAGAAGATGGCATGCTGGATGCCGTCTTCCTCCCGGATGAGCACAGAGCTGATGGCCGCCGGGCTAACCCCCAGGTAGAGGTAGAGGGTCTCCCCTACCTTGGGTTTGGAGAGCACAGGAGGTGAAGATAGATATCTTTTGAGCTCGTCGAAAGCCTCCTGGAATTCCGGAGTCCATAGAAAGCCAGCCGTCTTCCTCATGATCTGGAAGAAGGGTAGAGATTTCTCCGCCGATTTAGATAGAAAACGGTTGAGGGCGGCCAGGCGGCCCGTCAACCG